GATAGAGTGAAATCAAATTCACTGTTCTTCCGAAGGTCACTTATCTGTAACATAGATGGGACAAAGGTGTGTTCCCAGGTTTAAGTGGGTGGTTTGTGCTTATAAATTGATAATTTCAATGTTGATGTAGCAGTATCCATCAATATGGAACAGTATGCCAGGTTTACCTATATTATTACTGGTAGATGTGAGGTGCCAAATTATTTTCTTGAAGTCCAATGTGCCTCACAGACATTACTAAACATATAAAATGTTTTTTGAATATGAAAACTAATTGAAAAATATGCTTCATGAGATTCATACATGTACCTCAAATAACAATCTAATTTACATTACCATAAATTTCAATACAGGAGTTGATTAAACCACTAATAAAAAAGAATAAGATTCATTTATGCAAAATACTTTTGAACAAACAGTAAAATGTAAAATGCTAAAGTGAAAGTATTGAAAATGTGTAAATACTTTGGTGAGCATGAAATTTGGATTTCACGTGAAATATCGTGCAAATGTTTTCCCCATGTCACTGAGCCTTCAACCACGTTTCAATGGCCACAGAAAGAATATGTTTTAATCCCCAGCATTCTTTCTTTCTATTCTTTTCACGTAGGAATATTTAGAAGCCCTCCTATCACACAGAACTCTACTCTAGTTTTCGAATTGGCTGTGTTCTCCTCTTGCACACTTTTCTTACATACCACATGTCTCATTAAATTATTTCTTATTTTAATTCATTGTGGATATTATATAGAGTCCTTCACTGAACATCATAGATGTGACAGAATGAATAATAATTCATAATGTTGTTTAAATCTTAATTTGTATATTACATACATACTAATTCATATAGGAAAATAAATTGTTGACATGTGAGTCAGAGGAATACAATGAGAGACAACAGACCTCAGATGATGAGATTTTGATTATACGTAATCAAGTGGTTTTTTTTTTCAATCTGAGAAAGGAATAAGAAGCAGTGATAAATGATAACTGCATTATATTGTTGTCTTAGAAGAGAAAGGCCAAGTGCTACTGAGAGTAACCTTAGAGGCTCAAAAGAGGGTATTTGGTGATAAATGTTCGTCTCTTAAGCTCTCTAATAGGATGGTGACCTATAGGTATGTAGACTCCAAACCCCGAAATCAGATAGTGCTTTTGACTTCCAAACTAGACATGAACTAATCTGTTACTTTAACACACCAATTTTTAAGTAAATTACTGTAATAGCTTCAATAAACAGAAAACTAATGCCATTTATATCACAGCACTCAACATTTTTTCTATTCTCTGTCCACTTGTATTTTTATATGGCAGTTATTCTGTTGCTTATCAACACATTTAAATTTTTAACAGTAAATCAGGTCCTTAAAGTGATGCTGCTGAGATAAGAGTGCTCCATCTTTTTAAAAGAATTCTACAGGCCCAAATTAGTTACTGCTAGACACTTATCTGCTGTGTTAGAAAGTATATGTTTATCTTAATGCTCTGATATTTATCTTAACTAGTATTGAACTGAAAATGCATATTTCAAAAGAAATTATATGAAGTTGTACCAAATCATTTTGGAAAGAAAATATATCCACAGTTGCAGGCTTTGGTGTTTCACACAGTATATTTTCTCTTTACAATATACATTCCATATTGTTTTATTTTTTCCAGTACTTAAAACAACACTAACAGAAGGCAAAAGAAAGAAAATTGAAAAAAAAAATGTTGAGGGTAAGATTTGTCATATAAAATGACATTCAATATTTTTTTAGGTCTCTTATTCACAATTTATTCATTATATATCTCAAATGAAGCCCCGTCTCTCAACTCATCCCAATCCCACCCTTCCTCCCTCTTGGCCCTTACCATCTTCTCCTAGTCCACTGAAAGGGGAAGTTCTCTTCCCCTGCCATCTACCTACAGTTTATCAAGTCTCATCAGGACTGCCTGCATCTTCTTCCTCTGTGGCCTGGCAAGACCACATCGCCAGAGGCAAGTAATCAAAGGACAGACAATCCAGTTCATGACAGAGGCACCCCTGCTCATCTCATGAGGTGACCCACATGGAGACTGAGCTGGCAATAGGCTACATCTGAGCAGGAGGTCTAGGACCTCTCTATGCATGGTCCTTGGTTGATGCATCAGTCTCTGCAGGATCTCCTGGTCTCAGATTGTTCTTAACTTTGTTGGTATCCTTTGGGTCTCCTGTCCCCTCCATGTCCTTTTATTTCTCCTGACTCTTCCATAAGACTCCCTGATCTCTGCCCCAAGTTTGGCTGCAAGTCTCAGCATCTGCTTCAATCCACTGTTTGGTGGAGCTTTTCAGAGGACCCATTTGGAGACTAAGCTGACATGGGCTACATCTGTGCAGGGGTTCTAGGCTATCTCCATGCATGCAACAGTAATAAAAACTGCATGATACTGGCATAGAAACATAAAGGTGGATCAATGGAACCGAACAGAGGACCCAGAAATAAACCCACACACTTATGGACACCTGATCTTTAACAAAGATGCCAAAACCATAAAATGGAGAAAAGATAGCATCTTCAACGAATAGTGCTGATCTAACTGGATGTCTACATGTAGAAAAATGAAAATAAGTCCATACTTATCATCCTGCACAAAACTGAAGTCCAAGTGGATCAAAAACCTCAACATAAAACCAGACACATTAAATCGGTTAGAAAAAAAAGTGGGGAATAACCTTGAACTCATTAGCACAGGAGACAACTTCCTGAACAGAACACCAAAAGCACAGGCTCTAAGATCAACAATCAATGAATGGGACCTCATGAAACTGAAAAGCTTCTGTAAAGCAAAGGACACCATCATCAAAACAAAACAACTGCCTACACATTGGGAAAGAATCATCACCAACCCTTTATCTCAAAGAGAACTAATATCCAGTATATATATAAAGAACTAAAGAAGCTGAAAAGCAGCAAACCAAGAAATCCACTTAAAAAATGGGGAACAGAGCTAAAGAGAGAATTCTCTGTAGAGGAATATCAAATGGCAGAGAAGCACTTAAAGAAATGCTCAACCTCATTAGCCATTAGGGAAATGCAAATCAAAACAACACTGAGATTTCACCTTACACCCATGAGAATGGCCAAGATCAAAAACTCAAATGACAACACATGCTGGAGAGGTTGTGGAGAAAGGGGAACCCTTCTCCACTGCTGGTGGAAATGTAAACTTGTACAATCAATCTGGCGCTTTCTCAGACAACTAGGAATAGCGCTTCCTGAAGATCCAGCCATACCACTCCTAGGCATATACCCAAAAGAGGCTCAAGTACACAAAAAGGACATTTGCTCCACCATGTTTGTAGCAGCTTTATTTGTAATAACCAGAATCTGGAAACAGCCCAGATGCCCCTCAACTGAAGAATGGATGCAGAATTGTAGTACATCTACACAATGGAGTATTGCTCTGCAATGAAAAATAAGGAAATCATGAAATTTGCAGGTAAATGGTGGGACCTGGAAAAGATCATCCTGAGTGAGCTGTCCCAGAAGCAGAAAGACACACATGGTATATACTCACTCATATAGACATATAACATGGGATAAACCCACTAAAATCTGTCCATCTAAAGAAACTAAGCAAGAGAGAGGACCCTAACTAAAATGCTCAATCCCCATTCTAAAAGGCAAAGAAGATGGACATCAGAAGAAGAAGAAAACAGGAAACAACCTAGGAACCTGCAACAGAGGGCCTCTGAAAGGCTCTACCCTAGAGACTATCAAAGCAGACGCTGAGACTTATGGCCAACTGTTGAGCAACATGCAGGGAATCTTATGTAAGAAGTGGGAAATAGTAAGATTGGAGAGAACAGGACCCCACAAGGAGAGCAATGGAACAAGAAAATTTGAACACAGGGGTCTTCCCAGAGACTCATACTCCAACAAAGTACCATGCATGGAGATAACCTAGAACCCCTGTACAGATGTAGTCCATGACAGTTTAGTGTCCAAGTGAGTTCCATAGTAATGGGAAGAGGGACTGCCTCTGACATAATCTGATTGGCCTGCTCTTTGATCACCTCCCCCTGGGGGGCAGCAGCCTTACCAGTCCACAGAAGATAACAATGCAGCCATTCCTGATGTGATCTGATAGACTAAGATCAGAAGGAAGGAGAGGACGACCTCCTTTATCAGTGGACTTGAGGAGGAGCATGTGTGAAGAAGGAGGAGGGAGGATGGGACCGGGAGGGGAGGAGGGAGGGTCTTATGGTGGGATACAAAGTGAATAAACTGTAATTAATAAAAATAAATAAATTTAATTATAAAAAACACAAAAAAGATAAAAACATTGATATATATAGATCAATGTTTAAATATATAAATATATATTTATATATATCAATGATATATATATATCAATGTTTTTATGTCTTGGCTCAAGTTCTATATATAGGATGGCATTGATCAAATGCATCAGAGATTCAGCCAGAAGGTGAGGAAATATTTGAGGTAGTGTATTTGGAAAGGCAGGTTTGGGGAACGGTATTGAAATCAGTTAGGTTTAGGTTGTTTAGGTTAACTGAAAGTGAAATGCTTTGCAATGGTTATTCATGGAATGTTGGAATTTCCTTTGTCTCGATAGTATAGCAAGCTAATGTTATACCCTAGCAGATGAATTTTACATACTAGAGAGTGACACAGAGTTTGTGTACATCCCTCTAAATTTAAATCTCAGTTCTACCAACTAAGAGTTTTGTGGCATAACAGAAATTTACTTATACTTTCCTATTCTGAGGTAATTGAAAACAGGGAGTAAACTAATGAAAGTTCCAATCATTTGAGTCTCAGTGTATAGATTTTGTAGCATGCATATGGGCTACTGCTGAGTTTGTTCCTTTTCTTCATCTACCTCAGGGTAACCCCTCAGTGTCTCACACCATGATGACTATCAGAACTTGGAGGAAATCCTTCTATTTATTTACTTTTTTGTTTAAATCTCATGATAATATTTTGCAACAAGGACCTGCAGACTATTGAACCATGGCTGTTTGGAATCACACAGATGTGAAAGAATTCATATTGGCAGGATTAACTGAAAATCCTAAGTGGCAGGTTTCTCTCTTCTTCATTTTCAGCCTAATTTATTTCATCATCCTTGTGGGTAATTGGGGGATGATTATCTTGATCTGGTTGAACACCCAACTTCATACACCAATGTACTTCTTCCTTAGTAACCTCCTCTTTCTGTGATATCTGCTACTCTACTGTCATTGCGCCTATGATGCTCATCAACTATCTTGAAGAACGCAAGTCTAGTTCATTCTTTGGCTGTGTTCTACAGAGTTTCTTTTTTGCAGTGTACATAACTACAGAAGGCATCCTCCTGTCTATGATGGCTTATGATCATGTTGTGGCTATTGCAAACCCCTTAATGTACACAGTTATTATGACCCACAGCCTTTGCACTCAGATGGTTCTTGCATGTTACATGGGTGGCCTCATGAACTCCATTACTCACACAATAGGTCTACTCAGACTGGACTTCTGTGGTCCAAACATTGTGAATCATTTCTTCTGTGACATTCCTCCTCTTCTGAAGCTTTCATGCTCGGATGCACACATCAATGAGATGCTGCTTTTGGTCTTGTCTGGAGTGATTGCTATTTGCACTTTTACCATCGTTATGGTGTCCTATATCCACATTATCATTGCCATCCTGAGAATTCGTTCAGCCGAAGGAAGGCGTAAAGCCTTCTCCACTTGTGCCTCTCACCTGACAGCTCAGTACTCCATGGAACAGGAAAAGCTCTCTGCTGTGTTTTACACCTTGGTCATCCCCATGCTGAACCCTCTGATTTACAGCCTGAGGAACAAGGATGTGAAGGAAGCAGCCAAGTGGTCAATTTATAGGGAGAGGAGAACCTCCTGAATCGGTCCTTTATCTGGCCTTGAAAACTTGGTATGAATCTTTAAACTGTCATATTAAAATGTATTAAAAATTTATAATAGTATGATAGAATTTTAGACCAGCAATATTTTAATAATTTTTATTTATCAAATACTATCTTTCTCAGAAGAAACTTAGAGTGTCCTTAATGGTATGACTTTTATGGATTTTTTCACATGCCTCTACAAGGTCTCCATAAAAGTAGAAATGATTATCTCCAATTTTGTATATAATTTTAACAGTATGATAAGTGTCTGAAGGAAAAAAAAATGTAGCTCAAGACCTAAAACTTTACATAATCTAACTTTCATGAAATACTTGTTTTGTTACAGCTGCTGTGACATAGAAACATGACACAGAATTTGGAACTAAAACTATTAGATAAATACGTGAGAAAGAAATCTTTTTCACATAATAGAATTTAAAGATTTGCTCTTAAATGGGGCTCTTATGTAAAACTGAACTAATGGCAGACACTGCCTATTTGGGTAACAACCTGAGACTAGATGGGCCATGGGCCTAGTGTAAAACTGGGTAGGACTGGTCCAATAAAAGAATGTTGTAAAAAAAAATGCCTCTCAATGACATTATGATCCACTTACACATGATGTCATTGTTTAGCCATCATCAGAGAAGCTTCCTGCTGCAGCAGATGGGAACAAATAAAATGACCAACAGTTAGATAATATGCAGAGAGTGAGAGACATTTGAACACTCCTTCCTAAATAAGATGTCTACCTCAAAACCCTCCTATCAGAGCTCAGGGTACCCTGGTGAAGAGTAAGCAGAGAAGGTGTAAGAGCTAGGGGGTATAGAGGACACTAAAATAAAATTTTAAAAAGATCCTCTAAATAAATGATACAGTCATATGAATTCACAGAGTATGAGGCAGATGGGATCCTATAGCTTAAAAGAGAGAGAGAGAGAGAGAGAGAGAGAGAGAGAGAGAGACATGCTCCCACCCTTAACCCAGAATAAAACTATCTCTCAAACTGATTACCACTTGCCAAGAAAAATTTAGATTTCTCCAAGGGAGTCTTCCTGGGGTAATAAACTACTCTTAAGAATATGCCACATGTCTACTCATGGATGGCCAATAGAAAACAAAATCAATTATCAGTGACATCTTTGAATGTTCCTTGTTTCATAATTTCATGTTATTTTTAATTTGTTTTGTTTTTTAATTTTAATTTTGTTTTTATATTAATTACAGTTTATTCACTTTGTATCCCAGCTACAGTTCCCTCCCTCAGTCCCTCCCAATCCCACCTACCTCCCTCACCTCCTCCCATGCCCCTCCCTTAGTCCACTGATATGGAAGGTCCTCCTCCCCTTCCATCTGACCCTAGCCTATCAATTCTCATCGTTACTGGCTGCATTGTCTTCCTCTGTGGCCTCTCAAGGTTGCTCCCACATACGTATTCATGTAAGAATATACATATATAAAAAAAATCTAATGTATACATATATGTATATTTATATTCTGTTTTTACTTATAGTTTTTTTGTGTATGTCTTATGTCTTTTATAGTGTTTTTACTGGATTCATGAGTATCTGAATGAGTGGATTTCTGCATCTATATCTTTGTCTTGTGACTTTTTTGGGTTCTTTTCCTTCTGTCTTTTTAAATCCTATTTTATATTAGTTTTATTTAATATTTTGTTCTATTATTTTTCTTATAAGCCCATTTATTTTCTAACTAGAGACAGAAAAGGAATGTATTCAGATGGGAGGTGAGGTGGGAAAGAATTTGGAGGGTTAGAGAGAGAAAATACCATCATCAGGATAACTGATATGAGAAAAAATATTTTCAATAAATGATAAAACAAAAAAGTCATTAAGTATAAAAAATGAAATCTTGAGGCATAAAAGAAAAGGGGACTAGCTCAAACGTTATAGATGTGAACATACCTGGGGACTAATTAAGGAAGGAGAGGGACAGACCAGTGATAGAAGAAAAAGACATCCAATAGAGAAAGAGTAAGACAGAGGTGATAGATGATATGTGATAGAAAGAGATGATGTTCTTTTATTATTTTTTTATTTTTGTTATTAATTACATTTTATTAACTTTGTATCCCAGCTGTATCCTGGTCCCTCATTCCCTCCCAATCCCATTTTCCTTCCCTCATCTCCTCCCTGACCCTGATTGGGGAGGAACGCCTTCCCTTTCATCTGACCCTGTTTTATCAGGTATCTTCAGGACTGGCTGCAAAGTCCTCCTCTGTGGCCTAGCAAGACTGCTCCTCCCTTGCGGGGTGGGGAAGACAAAGAGCCTGCCATCGAGTTATTGTCAGAAATAGTGTCTGCTCCCCTTACTAGGGTACCCCTTGGTTAGTGAGCTACCATGGGCTACATCTGAGCACAGAACACC